ATAGAGTCATTGAAGGGATTCCTGATAGCCCAAGGCTTAAAGAAACGCAAAAGAATTGTACTCACAAGTACAATTCGTATCTTTCGAAGGTCTTTATCTATGTAAAGTATGTGTGATCTTAGATTTTTGTTTTGTTTTGTTTTTTTGTTTTGTTTTTCTCAAAAATAATCAGTGGAAAATACCGTGATGTCATCTCTGACCTTAGATATCTAGATGGAACATGGACAGAAATGAGTATACACCAGAAATCAAAGGAAATATAATAATAATAATAATAATAATAATAATAATAATAATAATAATAATAATGTCATCATATCGTCTATATTTCGTGTATGCAACTTTATCAGAGTGTGTGGCATGGTAGATATGTAGGTTTTCATATATTTGTTTTTTATTTTGTCAACTGCACAGAATAGTAGGGTCAGTTGGGCACCGTCTGTGAGGAAAAGAGCACCATGACGCAATTCACCCCGCCAGAAATTTGGAAACGGCATGCTGCAGTGCTTGGCATTCACGCCGGAAGCTCCCCTCCGAACATTTCAGAGTGTTTAGATGTCTATCTGAGTACAGTGCAGAGGATGGTGAAAGAGTTTGATAAGTCTAATTGTGATTACGAAGGTACGGAAGCTAGAAAAACTCACTCTGATCGATTCTGATAAGAAAAGAACTCCGGAATTTGTTGGTGAGCGCTTCAGATTCAACACAGAGGTCTACGTTAAGTGTCTTGAGGTGGTATCGCTGCCCTGCATCAAGAGAGTGACTGCTGGAAGATCGTATATCTGCTAACAGGACTTTGCACCATGCCACAGAAACAGGAGAACCCAGTCATGGCTGTCTGACAATTTCTGCGACCACATCACCCCTTACACATGGCCACCTAACTCCCCAGACTGCAAACCCCTTGATTATTGTGCGTGAGGTACAGATAAGCAAGAGACAAAAAAACATTCCTAGTAACACCACCAAAGATGAACTGAAGGCAAAGTTTATGGCAGTATTCACCAACTTAAACAAAGAGGCCGTCCTGAAGAGCTGCAGGAGATTCCGAAGTTGTCTGGAGGCCGTGGTTAAAGCCAATGGCAATTTTAATGAATAAATTTACTCTCATTATTTCAAGATAATTTTGTGTAATTTTGGTAAATATATATGAAAAAAAAGGGATGTCAGTGTCATTTTAATTTTTGCATAATTTATATATATATATCATTATGTATATATATATATATATATATATATATATATATATATATATATATATATTATTTTTTATTTGATTTTAGCCCATTTTATGATCGTTGTTTTTACTCCGCTTTCACAATTCTAATACAAAACATAATCCCATCAGATATGACATATCAACTAATTGTCTCTGACGGATTCTGACTGAAACTTGGTCCAGTTCGTATACCAAACAAAGAAATAATAATAATCAATTAAAAAAAAACTAGTGGATCACGTAGACAAAAAAAAGAAAAGAATGAATACTATACTCAAGAACTTATGCACGGACCTGCTTGTCAATAAAATTTGTAAAGGCCGACCTGACGCGTTCGTACATGTGACTGTATAAGACGAATACAGGATTCAGCTGAAAGAAAGTGAAAGAGAGCAGGACCTCACACGAGAATTAAGGACTGAATGAATTACGAAATCGATAAGAATTGAGACTGCCCATATAAGGGCATTTCTGATATATGCGAAGATGAGAATAACGTTAGATATTTCACTAGTAATAACCTCTAGACAGCTGATCAGAGCATACAAAGGCTCATAATAATAATAATAATGATAACAACAACAATAATAATGATAACAATAATAATAATAACAATAATAATAATAGGAATGACGACTGAGACTGTACCAATAATAATCGGAGCTCTGAGCCTCGTGAGAAAAAGAATGGACAATTTTACTAACAGTGTCCCAGTTAACATCCACAGCCCAGAAGATCACCTACTAGGAACATATCATATACTAAGAAAAGTGCTATTAATTAATGACAATGGCCGAAGGATCATAGTTGAGACACGTCTCTGCAGGATACAAAGCAGGAAACAACGCACACAAATAATAATAATAATAATAATAATAATAATGAGAATAATAATAATACTTAAAAAAGACAGCAAATACGAATGCCACCGACCAGATACAGAAGCGATGGCAAGATAAACCGCTTCATGGCCAATACTCTGCTCGTACCAAACAAGCTGACGTAGACATAACCCGTACCCATCAGTGGCTACGTAGTGCAGGGTTGAAAGCTGAAACTGAAGGTTTTATCCTTGCTGCACAGAACCAATGCTTGCTAACTAGGAATTATCAAGCACATATACTAAATATTGTGTCAGCCCAAAATGCAGATTCTGTGATAAATATCCAGAAACGATTGATCATCTTGTATCAGGTTGCACGATATTGGCACCCACTGAATATAAAATCCGACATGACAGAGTGGGCCAATATCTGCACTGGAAAATCTGCAACTTCTACGGAAAGGAAACTGAAAGAAACTGATATGAACACCACCCAGACCCGGTTACAGAGATAGGACCTGATACAATTCTATGGGACTACACAATACACACTGACAGAACAATCAAAGCCAACCGCCCAGATATTGTTATTAAAGACCACAAACAAAAACGGTGCCTCCTTATTGATATGGCAGTCCCTGCTGACTGCAATGTATCTTTGAAGATATTCAAAAAGCTGTCAAAATACAAGGACCTTGAAATAGAAATCTCGAAAATGTGATATATGGGAACATCAACAATCCCTGTTGTAGTTGGAGCCCTAGGACTGGTTGGAAAAGATTGCAGTAGACTAATTGAAGGGATTCCAGGAAGTCCATGCTTCAAGCAGATACAAAAAATTGTTCTGACAAGTACAGCCCACACTTTACGAAGGGCTTTAACTATGTGATTTTTTTTTTTTTTTTTGTCAGTGGAAATTGTCATGATGCCATTTCTAACCTTAGGTCCCTGGGCGGGACCCGGAAAGAAATATATACACATCAGAAATCAAAGGAAATAATAATAATAATAATAATAATAATAATAATAATAAGAAGAAGAAGAAGAAGAAGAAGAAGCCAAGCTCTGAATACAAATTCCGTCCGGAAGAACATCTGTGTGACATGGAAGCGGAAAACATCGCTTATATCATTAGAACTTGTGTGATGCTTACACCGAAACAATATAAGCGCCACCATGATAAAGTAACCTCCCGTATACATTGGTGACTACACAGGAAGTATGAACAGAAATGGTACCGCCACAAGCCAGAGAAGGCCAAGACAAGATATTATGGGATTTTAAATTCTAAACATATTGCATCCTTATGGCACCAGAGATCACCGTCGATGAAACAAAACCCCATAAAACCAAGGAAATGCCTTCGCCTCTTTCTGGTGGCCATAATATCAAGGTCAAAGAAGTTGAAAAGCTTAAAATACCCTGACCCCTGGATTGAAGAATGTGAGACGTTCAGGCCACTATTGTCCGAGTTATCACTGGGGCGTCGGGGTCTATACCACCGAACATAAAGTCCTACATCGAGGAAATCGGAACACAGTCTAGTATTCTATCGCCTCAGAAGTCTGCGATCTTTGTCCCTGCAAATAGTCTGTAAAAGATGATATCTGTTTGATGTTGTACGACTTGATGGCGAACACCCATACTGCAAGATCTTCGGTTGAAAACAAAAAACCTTGCAAAATAATAATAATAATAATTTGAAATTCGAACGTATCACACAATCCAACCTTAAAACCAGAACTTGTAATTGAAAACAAGAAACTTGGTGATAGATTTCATCGTTCTCTCAAGTAAGTTAAAGAAAATGAAAAAAAAAGAAAAGAAATGAAAGCAGTAATACCCATCATTATCAGCACACTTGGAATAGTCCTCTAAGAGGTTGGAATACATGAAAGTTCAAGGATGAATCACAATATAGACAACAACATGACAAAATTTAGCAGGAATACTGAGGAGAGTGCTGGAGTATTAAGGCGATGTTTATCACTTGTTCTCCAGTGAAAGTCACCGGTTACTACTGGCGTGAAATTTCAATGAGGGCGAATAATAATAATAATAATAATAATAATAATAATAGTTGTTGTTGTTGCCAAGGATTCAGTGAGCAAAATATTATGGCATTTCTCTTTGCAGACTGATTCTGTAATTGAAACACGGAGACCCGATATTGTTTTGATAGATAAGTAAAAAGGCAAATGGCAAATTATTGATTTTAATGTTCCATGCGCTACAAGAACGGACTCCAAAAATGTGAAAAGACTGAAAAACACTAAACTCTGCCTAGGAGGTAGAAGAATCTATGGAACGTGACTGCTGAAGTACTTCCTGTAGTAAAGGTTTCACTTGAGACACCACCTAGAAAATCGAAATAGCACCAAGAGAAAATTGTAGTTAAGACCAAGATTCTGGACCTCCTGAAATCTGTGATCTTTTTTTCTGCGTTCTTTATTTATGAGCACTCTTGTTTACAAAAGATCTCAAGTGGAGAATTTCTGATGTCAATTTGCGACACCAACATAAAAGTAGTTGCCACTAAGGATTGAGTCGTAGCAAATTTTATCAAATCTCCAATGACCTTGTCAGAATTCTCGCAAAAACAAAGGGTCATCGACATATGCCGTATCACTTCAGTACATGCACGATCATGGTTCTCCACAACTTCCTGTCCATTGTAGCGCTGGACAACTTTTGGCGTTTTATCATCCATTCTTTACTCCTCTACACAGACTCAACAGATAAGTTACTCGTTATTCTTTCTGTTTTACTTTTCTTCATTGGGTCTTGTGAGTGTTACCTTTTGAAAGCCGTTTGTCTAATAATATATCCCAGAAGTTTTAATCTGGCACAGATATTCCAAGTTATTTTCAATTTTGGGGCAATATCATGGTATTTTTATATTTTTTCGTTTCCATTAATCCATGATCTGACAGACATTAACGTTCTTGATTACAAAGCTTACGGCCATTTCACGTTGAAACACGGGCTCTCGTACAATCACTGAAGTTAAGCAACGTCGATCCTGGTCAGTAACTAGATGGGTGATCGCTTGGGAATACCAAGTGCTGTAAGCTTGAATATGCAGTTGGTGTAATAGATAACTGCTCGGATTTGTAAATCGTAGAGTCGAGTTCTAATTCCAGTCAGGTTCGTTATATTCACATTTGTTCAAATACCCTTGGGGAAAGGTATGAATTCACCTTTTCTCCCACTAGCTATGGATAAATTGGTAGAACTTGTATAAGTAAATCAGTGTGATCTCCCGAAAATTCTTCTAAAAATATTTTCTGGCAGTAAATAACCTGAGAAAGTTTGATAATCCGAAAAAAAAAACAATTCAATCTTGATTACAAAAAAAAAGTAACGATTTTTCTAAATCTCAAAGCATTAAATATTTTTTAAGCACTTGCCATTTGTTTACACAGTCACCTCTGTATGAAAATCCCGACACTGGCACACCAAAAATGTATGTATAGCTGGCCACTCGTATTCGAGGATACCCGTCTACTAGGGCGGCTAGCCAGTCCCTATTGCAGACACTTTCTCAGGCGCATTTGTGTTTATTCAACACCCACAGATCCCACCTGTGGTTTATACAGCAACTATGCTGAGCAGGCCTTACTTACAGTCTCTGGGAAAGAGCATGTTATCTAGCGTGATCAACAATTTGAAAAAGGCCAGCACACTCAAACCCTCGGTCACGATGACTTATGACTTCGTGCTAGCACAGCTATCGAAGGCAACCAAGGGTTCCGTCTACACAATTTCACTCACAAGGCTTGGGCCAACCCGTGGTATGGTTTTCAAGCACTTTCCAAAAATCTTGCACGCTGGGATCGATGTCTTCATCTGGAAGTATCCTTCCTGACAAATCGACCATGGTGATATTCGAACCCGGGTCTCATGGAGAGAATGCGAACGTTCAAACCACTCGGCCAAGTGCCCATAAAAAATGATGTAAACTAATGTAAAAATCGCAGCATTCAAATTTCACATTGCTTACAGTCTCATTTTTCTTTTCATCCACAAATGCTTCATTAAGTGCAGTTTTTTGGGTTTTCAATACTTTTCCTCTAATCTCATTTGTTCTGATGCATTTCTACTGAAATGCAATGGTAAGAAATTACGGTTCTCTTTCAAATGTCACTATTATTATTATTACTAATATTATTATTACTACCCGAAAATCTGTCCTTTAAACATTTTATTCATACATTTATTCATAGGTAAATGTGTACAAATTAAAATACTTTAAATTGACAACTTTTTCAAATTCAATGAAACAGACGTTAAAGACTTCTATCTTTCCTTCATTCTTCCTTCCTTTCTTCTATTTTCTCACTGAAACCAGATATCGTCTCTGATATATCAGTTCACGCGGTCAAAACGGAATAGTCCATTATTTCTTATGTATTGGCAGGGCGTAACGGTCGTATGAACTAACTAAAAAAGGGAAGGTGGGACAATCAGAATTATAACAAAGATTATTAGTTCACTTTCATACAGCATATATATATAGCATTGCCCGTTGGTGAAAAACCTGACTTAAAAAAATAAACCGATTCGGCAAGCTGGAGCGAATGTCTCTTCTGAGCAGTTCCGCATTTTTTAATTGTTATCTCTATATTCAAATCCCAATCCAATAAAACATGAAAAAATCTTGCAGATTCTAATCATTATTATTAACAAAAAAAAGTATAATAATGATAATGCTATAAAGTATTATACGCCTTGTTAAGAGGTTAACCCAGAAAATAGAATGAAGATAAAAACTTCAATATCAAGTAGGCCGCCCAAAGCTAGACAGGTGATCAGATCATATCAACGTAAACAAAGAGAGAAATATCAGTGAACATCAATGTTTCAGTGAGTTTCAGAGTGGTATTGATAGCAAAAAGCTGCTTAAATATAAGGGGATTCTTAGAAAACCTTAAAATATGTACAATGTAATGGTGAATATTGGACTAATTAGAGTGAGAGTACTTAGTGCTTACTGGGGATATATTTTCTTGTCCCACAAAATAAGATTTGACACCTCAGACAGCATCTCACCATTGTACTACGATTCAGGGCATTCCTTAATATCAACGGCGTGGAAAAAGGTAAGAGAGGACGAATCAGAAAAGGTTCAAAGTTTTATTTTAAAGTAACGCTTCGCAAATTTTATGACACAAAACGACTTTTCTTGCTGTGTGACCATTTTAAATCTATACGAAATCTGCAAAAACAAAAACAAAAAGAAGCATTTAAACAAGATCTAAAAAATAATTAATTTAATTAACTTTGAAACTTTTGCTATCCACTAATGAATGTGTTAAATGAGTTTCTGTCTCTTAACAATTGTTTATTTATTAAATTATCGAAATCTGCACTTTCTTTATATATATATATATACATACATACATACATATATATATATATATATATATATATATATATATATATATATATATATATACATACATACATATACATATATATATATATATATATACATGCATGTATATATATATATATATATATATATATATATATATATATATATATATATATATATATATATATATATATATATATATATATATATATATATATATATATATATATATATATATATATATATATATAGCCATATATAGATCCGACATTATGAAAATAAAATATGCGTATATTTTCTTCATACTATCGGATATATTATTATATATATATATATATATATATATATATATATATATATATATATATATATATATAAAGAAATATAGTCTTAAGGTGTGCTATATTTATGGGATAAAGTGCTTAATATCACTTTTATATTTATATATATATATATATATATATATATATATATATATATATATATATATGAGTAATGGATAGGGCTCAGACTGAGGAATCGGAGAGGCGAGTTCAGATTCCAGTAGAATCCATTACATTCACTTACGTGCTAATACCCTTGGGAAATGTATGAATCCTCTTCCTCCCCCAGCTATGAGTAAGTAACAGGAGAGGCTGGGTTCTATAACCTTGGATGGCAACTAGTCTCGAAGAAGGAAATCCTCTGAATTCAAAACTGTCCTGGAGACGGTTGGGCTCCGTCAAGTTATCTTGCCCAAGAATCACCCCTTCTACTGTAGCTGCAGTACACATAGTGCCCCTACGGTTCAGGGGATGATATATATATATATATATATATATATATATATATATATATATATATATATATATATATATATATATATACACACACTTTGAGGGACACCGTAAGGGTCAAACCAAGATAGCGGATACAACTGATATCCTAGGTTTTAAAGTTAAAAGCTCTACATCTTATTTTTATTTTTTTCACACGTGTATTGAACATTTTTAATACTACTGTCTCCTAGTTTGATTCAACACTGACCATTAACCTTTTATATATATATATATATATATATATATATATATATATATATATATATATATATATTATTAGTTTGTTTGTGCGCATATGCATATGTTACAAAAGGTTTCCATGTTTTCCCTTCAGCAGAAGCCAAACTACACCGTCCTCATTTCATCTTGCCACAAACAACCAGTTCTTTGATCTTAGCCATCAACATTTGAAATTTTCTCTCATTACTGAATCCTACCGATTATGTTGTTCTGCAAAAATGTGTCGAATATATTTTACATGAATCTAAGCGGTATAAAGAGATATTGACTTGATTTTTACTCTACACTGTCAGAAGATAAATCGGTTTGAATCTGTCTATATTTCCTTCGTATTTGACTAATTCATACTGGCCTTCATTCTTCTGATAAAAAAGGACGATCAAGCAACATGTAAGTATGCAAACGAAGAATTTTAGTAAAGACTTTAAAAAATTCTTAGTCGCTTATACGTTAGCATGGCACAGAAATAACCCAATAACGTATTAGAATGGCAAAGGATGCTTTTCCAAAACTAAACAAAGTATTAAGAAACAGGAAAGTTTCGTTAGGTATGAAGAAAATAATTTTTAACTGCTATGTAATATCAACCCTCCTATATAACAGTGAACGTTGAACAATTTCATCTCAGATAAAGAGAAGAATTAAAAAAAGACAAAAATATGTAGTTTTTACATATGATGCTTTGAGCAGTTTTTATATAATGTTGTCTTCGATACCATGGTGGGAGTATGATAGAAAAATAAGTTTTAAGGAAAATCAGAAAAAAAACCCCCAAAAAGACAGAACTATAAAAAATCAAATTAAATTCCTAGGGCACAAATTGTGGAAAGACGGCTTGAAAAATTTTATTCAAAAGACATATTGAAAGACAAGAGAAACAGAGTAACCTATCTAACAAGGTTGCGTAAATGGATTCCATAACTAGGAAAGATTATCAGTAGATAAATATTACAAAAGATAGGTAGTTGTGGAGATCCATGATCACCTTCGTCCTGAAGTGACAACGGTACTCAAACGAAGCTATATAAAGATGATAGTAAAAAACATATATAAGCAGTTGTGAAGAGCCATGTCACCCAAAAGAAGCTATATAACGATGATAGTAAAAATATATAGATAGGCAGTTGTGGAGAGCCGTGATCACTTAGGTCCTGAAGTGACGACGGCACTCAAAATCAGCTATATAACGATGATATTAAAAAAACATATAGATAGGCAGTTGTGGAGAGCCATGGTCACACAAAAGAAGCTATATAATGATTATATTACTCATAAAAATCATGGGATTGTTTACGCATGATACAACGTTTCTGCCTCAAATCAGAATGTGGTATCTGTTCCATTTTCTTTTCTGTGTTATGCACTGTCGTCATCAGAAACATCGTTGAATGTCGCTAATGAATCATCTCAGAATTTAACACAAAGAGAAAGAGTGCGATCAACTCATCGGTAGAAATGTAATAGAAAAAGCCAACAACATATTGAAACAATTTCTAAACTAATGATAATTAGATAACCTAGAATGTTATTTTTATTTTTTTACTTTCCATAAGTAAGTATAAATAGGGTTTAGAAGAAAAAACTAGTTCTTTTTTTTTTTTTTTTTTTTTGAATCATCTTCACAATATATTGGCTAC